CTTTAGCGGCCCAACATGTAACGCACTCATCACCCGGACTCTTCCCCCTGATCCGCATCTCCTAATAGGATCCCACTGAGTTGAATCCAGGGTCCCATCAGAGGCCGCGGGCCCCAGTCCTCCCGCCAGACCTCTCAGGGTCCACTCAAGTCTTTCCACGAGGGCTCCCAGAGATGTCTGTCCCGATCAAGGCGCTGTCCCACTCCGGGATGCCCGCCCTCCTCCCCACCTCCCGTGGTCAGCAGCGCCCACACCAGACCCTCGCCTGCCGCAATGATCCCCTCCCCGCGCCTGCGCACTGGGGCTCCATTGCATCATTCGGCCTGGGCGGGGCTGCGCCAAATTCTCCCCCCAACCCTGGCGCCTGCGCACTGGGGTTCCATAGCATCATTTGGCCTGTGCTGGGATGCGCCAAGCTCTCTGTGCCTGCGCACTCTGACTCCATAGCATCCTTCGGCCTGGGCTGGGCTGCTCGGACTACACAGCGCTAAGCCCTCCGCTCTTGCTCTTATGTTATTTGGTGAAATTCTTCTGTGTCATTCAATTCCTTCTGATAGAGTGACTCTGTGTACTCCTTCAATCTTCTCTTGATACTTCTTGAATCATTTAACATTCTACTCAAAGTATGCTAAAATATTGCCACCCATGGCTTAAATTTGTTTTTCAGCTCCTTCAGTTTAAGAAACGCTGAGCAAGTTCGGCCCTTTTGATTTTCTGACTCCAGCTCTCTGCACATTTCATTATAGTATCTTTCTTTGTCCTCCCGGGCTGCCTTTTGAAATTTTCTGTTCAGCTCTTTGATTTCTTGGTTTCTTCCTTTAGCTTTGGCTTCACGGCGCTCTGATACAATATTCAGAGCCTCATCTGACATCCATCTTGGTCTTTTCTTCTTCTTTAGCCTTTGTAATGATCTTTTGCATTCTTCATGGACGATTTTCTTGATATCCTCCCAGAACTCATTTGGTCTATGCTCATTGGTGCTCAAGGCCTCAAATATGTTCCTGAGATGGTTTTGAAATTCAATGAAACTATGAAGGAGGAAGTTCAAATTGCTCTGAAGGAGTTGACAAAAAATAAGGCTCCAGGAGTTGATGGCATATCAATTGACATATTTCAACAAACAGACACTGCCCTGGATGTGCTCACTAAGTTGTGCCAAGAAATCTGGAGGAGAGCCAGCTGGCCCACCTACTGGAAAAGATCGATATTTGTTCCCATTCCAAAGAAAGGTGACCCAATAGAGTGTGGGAATTATCAAACAATATCATTAACATCACATGCAAGCAAGATTCTGCTGAAAATGATCCAAAGACGTTTGAAACAATATGTCAACAGAGAACTGCCAGATGTGCAGGCTGGATTTAGAAGAGGTCGTGGTACTAGGGATATTATAGCTAATGTTAGATGG